AATATGTGAACAAGTTTAAAATCCTTAACATTTTTTTTGTGTTATTTCATATTTGCAGATCTTCAAATTTTATTAGTTTGTTGTGTTCTCAGGATTTTTCAATTTTTAAATTTCGAGCTTGTAGAATTCATCTATTTTCAAATTTTTTATGGACCAGATTCTTGGGTGAGCAAGTTCTCACAATTAAGTGTAGACAAATTACTAAATTTTCAAACTGGAAAATTTGAAAATTTTTTGATATTTAACTGTCTTCATTTTCAAATCATAAAATTTAAAAATTCTCAAGTCCTTAAATTTCTATTCTTGCATATTGACAAATTCCCCAATTCTTAAATTTCGAAACTACCCAATTTTCAAATCCTTAATTTCTTAAATTTCTAAGCTTGCAAATATACAAATTCCCAAGTTCTCAAGTTCCTAAATTTCTACCTATCACTCTTAAACTTTTCAAATCTCTGAACCCCTTAATTCCTAAATCTTCAAAACTATCAACTTCCCAACTTCTCAAGCTCCTAAATTTCTAAATCTCCAAGTTCCTAAATTTCCCAAAACCCTGCACCCCTAAACTGTTAAAGCTGCACCCCTGCAACTACCAAATTTTTAAATTTAATAACTCTAAAAGTTGAGTAACCAAAAATCCTACTAATTGCAACAACGTCACATAAATATAAAACCAGCAATAAATACCAAAATCCACATGTGTCCTCTTACGTGACATAAACTCAAAAAATCACACTACAAACACCACTCATTAAACCATAACTATAAAATATTTTCTCGAACACCCTATATATACCATTTCCACCAGAAAATTCTAGAGGTGAGCAACGATGGACGGCGTGGGAGACAGTAGGATGACGGTAGTTCAGGTGGTACACATCGTATCAAAGAAGTTCGTAAACGAATGCGAAGAAGAAACGTCACGTCTAACGCCGGATATTTCACACCCACCTGACTTCCGTCGTTTCCGTATTTTTGTTCGTCGTTCACGATTTGTAATGCTCACCGTGTCGTAGCAAATTGGACCTTGTCGATGGGAATTTTATTTGTGACCGTCACGACGTGCAGCGTCTTGACGCTGTTTACGAGCCGTTTGATGAGCTGCGCCGAGTTTCACGAATGAACAGCTACGCGTTGGCAATCATTTCGAATCGCTTTGAACGTTCGAGAGAGAGAAATGTGGATTCTTGATGGAAAAGTTTTGGAGGTTTGACGGTTTCGAATTATGAATTTCAGGGAGTTAGGAGGTTTGGGAAGTTTGGAGGTTAGGAATTTGGGGGTATAGGAATTTGGAGGCATAGGATTTTGGTGGTGTAGATATTTACGGATATAAGAATTTTGAGAGTTTGGAATTTGAAGGGTTTGGAATTTGGGGAGTTTGGAATTTGAAGGGTTTGGAATTTGGGGATTTTGGAATTTGGGAAGTTTGGAATTTGAAGGGTTTGGAATTTGGGGATTTTGGAATTTAAGGGTTTGGAATTTGGGGAGTTTGCAATTGGGGGATTTTGGAATTTGAGGGGTTTGGAATTTGGGGAGTTTGGAACTTGAGGGGTTTGGAATTTGGGGAGATTAGAATTTGAGGAGTTTGGAATTTGGAGAGTTTGGAACTTGAGGGGTTTGGAATTTGAGAAATTTGGAACTTGAGGGGTTTGGAATTTGGGGAGTTTGGAATTTGAGGGTTTGGAATTTGGGGAGTTTGCAATTGGGGGATTTTGGAATTTTAGGGGTTTGGAATTTGGGGAGTTTGGAACTTGAGGGGTTTGGAATTTGGGGAAATTAAAATTTGAGGAGTTTGGAATTTGGGGAGTTTGAAACTTGAGGGGTTTGGAATTTGGGAAGTTTGGAACTTGAGAGGTTTGGAATTTGAGGGGATTAGAATTTGAGGAGTTTGGAATTTGGGGAGTTTGGAATTCGGGGGGTTTGAAATTTGGGGAGTTTGGAACTTGAGGGGTATGGAATTTGAGGGGTTTGGAATTTGGGGAGTTTGGAATTTGAGGGGTTTGGAATTTGGGGAGTTTGGTATTTGAGGATTTTGGAATTTGTGGGGTTTGGAATTTGAGGAGTTTGGAATTTGATCATTTTGGAATTTCAAAGTTTAGAAACTAGAGAACTTAAGAACTTGGAAAGATAGAAATTTGGGGATGTGGGAATTTAAGGGAACTAAAATTTGAGAAGATAGGAATTAGGAAATATAGAATTTTTTAGTTTAGGAACTGATGCGTTCAAACACTTAAAAATTGAAGAATACAGATATTTAGAAATTTGAAAATATTGAACTTTGTATATCCCAACCTAGAAATTTACTAATTTAAAAATTTGTAGGTTAGGAATTTCCCCACACATAAATTTGAGAATATAAAAATTTAAATATTCAGAACCTTATTATTTAAAAATCTAAAGACTCACTATTCCCTTAAAGAACCTTGCAATCTAATAAAACCTAAACAAGAATAATAAAATAAATTTATGTACCGATCGTAACTACCGTCACCTATCAACCTCAACCATATTTTTCGCAGCAATTCCCAGCGATGTACAATTTTTTACGACACAGCTACAATGTAAAAAATACAAATTCACCCGGGAGACGTAGAATCTACCACAAATTTTATTATTGCAGTACATTCTACGTTTACGTTCACAGAAAGTTCTAGCAGCGATATGGTTGCCCATAGCAGGCGAACGCCGTTAAGAAATATGGCGCGAGTCTTTTTGAATTACTACGTCGGGCTCAACGTGTATTAAAATCCTTTTAACCGGACATAAATAAAGGTACGTTTGGCCAAGTAATCTCTAGAGAGGATTACCTCGGTGTTGTCGAGTAGGGCGTAGACAGTATCAGGTAGAAGGACGGTTCACGATTTTATCCGAAGTACAGTTAAGAGCAAATCTGACTTTTCTAGAAAAAACATGGTTCCAAATGGGGGAATGATCGTACACTATTTTTGCGGGAATTTTAGGCTTTTTAGAATTTGCAGGGTTAAAAATTTGGAGACACAAAATTTGGGATTTGTGGATTAAGAAGTTAAGGATTTGTGGATGTAGAATTTCAGTGAGTGAATATTTAAAAATTTAAGAATTTTTTAAAACTTGAGGTTGTTTAGAAATTTCAAATATGGAAAATTAGATACATCATCAAATATAAATACATCATAACTTGAAGATGTAAATATTTAAATAAGAAATCTAAATATTCAATGTAGAAACATCCAACTTACCTCACCAGCCTATCTCAATGTGCCTCAAGAAATCTAGCAACTGTGAAAATTCAAGATCTCTCAAATTCTTAAAGCTGAACATTCATAGGTTTAAAAAGCGAATGTTTAAAAATTTAAGAATTGTCAGAAGTGTACACAAGCGTCCTTGTCCGTCGGAAATTCGGATCGCATCCGATTGTACCTTTGTGCACCGATTCAAGAACGTCTGAGTCTGAAAGGTCCGTGTTCTTGTCCCGTGTCCACCTCGCCTCTCGCAAATTTAATTTCTCCCGTTCGCGTCAAAGTGAATTCCATAAAACAAACCGTCTCTCTTAAGCTCTCGGGAGAGCACTTTCGTTTCGTTGTCCCATTCTTCTCATATTTGACTCGATTACCGGGGGGTCAAGGGAGGAAGAAGGAAAACAAGAATAGACGTACGGAGGAAAGAGAAAAACGGAATCAGAGGGGAACGTGTTCGAACCCGGTGTAGAATCCTTGCGGACTAATCCCGAGGACGAGGTAAATGGTAACTGATCAACGGGGAAGAGATGGGAATGAAAGTGGGATGTGACGGTCTAAAGTGCAATTGAATTTCAGATTTACGTCCGACGACGTAAAGCGACTCGGAATTGCATTGAAACGATGAGGTGGTATACGCGATTTCTATGGAATGTCTATGAAATTAGGCTCCCTGTATCCGCGAATGATGCATTTTGGAATTTTACGAGTAAAATAAAATAGAGTAGGTCTAAGTGTTTCTACAGTTCGAAGATTTTCAGTGGTTTTCAATTTGGGAAAATTTTAGAATTAAGGAATTTGAGGATTTAGAATATCAACAATTTGTAGAAAGATATTATCAAGGTGTACTTCATACTACATATTTAATTTACAGTATCTTTTCTAATTTTGTCAGATGGAGTCTGAAAATCGTACTCATTTCTCTATCTAGCGGTAAAAGATGAAACTAAGGGAAGTTTTGAAACTAAGGAACAAGTTTTCTTCTATAAAGAGATAACTCATTTTTATAATTTATTAGCCAAGTCATTTTATTAATTTATTATTTATAGTACAGTGGAATTATAAAATAGATTAATTCTCAATGCGTATTGCATGAATTTTAGAGTCCCTATATTATTTAAAATTGAAATCAAATCACAGATTTCTTATAATTATCTCCTGTCACAGATAATGTCCCTCTCTCTGCGGACCCGTTCTCTAAATACCTGTTCGCTAACGAACCTCCTGGCACGACCATGATCAAACCTATTTCACTACCATCATAAAGCACTATTTATATATAAAGTTCCAAATTTTCATATACAGAAATTAACTTATAGTTTTAAATATATATTAACGCAAAAATACGTATACGCATAAGTTTCAAATCATTTCTAAATTAATTATTCAACAAAGCTCATAAGTGCATGCACTTGTGAGCACAGTTGCTCATCTGCAGGAGTGTTTCTCAACCTTCATGTACCAGTATATTTTTTTCACAAGATAACCGAAATTTTTCTCAAATCTTACAGGGTTCTACAATTCAAAACCTCAGATAATCCAGTACAGTTGATTCAACAGTACAGAGATTGAGAAACACTGTTCCAGAGGACGCCACCCGTCCGCGTTGAATCTTCTTCCTCGATAAAGCGAAAGTTGACGTTACCCAAAGTTGGTATCAATACCTCGGTAGATGGTTAGAGATCCCAACCATCCAACGGGACTCTCCCAAACATGTATAGATGTCGGTGGACTGTCCATAACCGATTCGATCCGCTGTTCACCGCGCAGAAAGTAGTGCGCATTCCCATTGACCAGTCCGTGGTCTGAGTCGTGTATTCGGGCCAATAGTAATCGTGCGGTGCCTTTGAGAACACGGTACGGTCTCTCTCGTCAGTCTGGTTGTGGTGCGTTTTCACACGTCACGTCGGGACAGAGAAGGGCATACGAGGAAGGGAACATAATCGAAAGAGCAGGAATCGTAGCGTCGTTGTTCCAACGATTTGAAAAGATCAAAAGAAAGTCGTGATCTGTCCGGCGAAGACCGCGAAAGGTCCGGAGACAGGGATTCCCTAAACGCTCTTTACACTCGCCTAACCGCGTCTCTGTTTCCGTACGACCGTGTTCGACAACCGCGGAGAAGCTGCAACTCTTTTTCGGTACCAGGATTCCGCAGCAGGAGTCGCGCAAGACGAGGTGAGTTGGTGGAAAAAGAATTCTCCCTCGTCGAGAGAAACCGTTGCTCAACGGAGCGACATTTCGATCGATGACGATTCCCGTGGCAATAGACCGTCATCGTTCCCGCTGTCACCGTCGTCGACGTTTCTGCGCGAGTCCGTGTGTGCGCGATCCACAACGTTGTCGACTTTCGGCTCGACCGACAACGGACCGTAATCCGCTCGTAGCGTTCATCGAAATGAGTCATCCGACACGTTACGACCGGGATCGAGCCCGAGCGCTGATCGATCTCGATTTTGCCTCGATACGTTTTGAACGATCTCCCGCCACCGCGATTTCGCGTTCGTTCGTCGTCGCACGAAGCGTCAGAACGATAGGATCGAGAGCTCGATACGTCACGTTACGGCGGCCAGGGTACATGGCGATCACTCGACGGGAAGAAACGAGGTTAGACGTTATACACGCGGCTATCCACGCGAAAAATCAATACACGACCCTCCTGGGCCACGATTCAGACGCGCGCGGATATGTTCCGAGAATCCGGGGGATCGCCCTCAGGGGCCACAAGCCGATCCTCGCGAATTATACCGAGAAACCTCGGATCGATTTCAGAACTGCGTGTGTGGATTCCACGTAGATATGCGGGTGCCACATATGTAGGGTAAGGGTGGAAAGGATTTGAGCGGGATGAGGTAGTTTCTTAGATATGAATGACAGGTAGCTTCAGGTTCCATTGAGAATTATTACCTATCAAATTCTTATACTTCTCTTTAACATTTCATGTACCCATGAGACACCTCCGAAGCTCCACATTTGTGCATTCTTAAATTCATAAATTTATAAACTCTTCAATTAACCAAATAATATTTAAGTTCTTCAATGTTCAAAAGTTCATAAATTCTCAAATTTCCCATTCTTCAAATTTGCTCGATTTTTTCTAAGTTTGCTTCTAAGACGATGTAGGAAACCACACATCGCGTGTGACGCAAATCCCAGCTGTTTTCCGAAGTTTAAATTTTCGCGGGTGTATAACTTCACTGACATATATTTTGTTCCTCCTTGTTTATAACTGAACGCAAGTTAACAAGATTCATTATGTACGAAGTTTTCTGATGTTCGTTTTGTTGTTTATTGCAAATGTTTAACGAGATTTCGATGCATCGTTCGAATATCGAATTAACGTCCGTCCGGACGCTGGCTAATATGGAAATCGGTTTATTCCCATGCGTGAAACTACCTGCACAGAGCCTTTTATAATCTTGTTCCTTATCGATTATTCTTTTCCGTACGTGCGTCGGCCTACGAGTATAGATTTCCGCGAACTGCATGCGAACGTGTACTGTAAATTATAAAATTAAAGTCGAATGTAATCCCTTCTTCATAATTTTTTATTCTGAGAGTGTAGGAGTTTCGGAGGAAATAATCTTGTGCCTTACAAATTGTACAAGTTGCTTCAGAAGTAGATAGTCAAACTTTGGTTCTATTTTCTTTAAGAACGGATTCACAAAAGTACGAAATTTTAGATACAAATATTTATTTTCGAGATGTAAACATTTCTGTTCAAATCAAAATCTGGATATTTCATGATGTGAGTAGCTGAGGTAGAATTATGAGCACTACTATGGTTGTTTAATTGGGAGTTAATAATATAGTAGGATAAATCATTCCCAAATTTGGAACAGTGTATATCACGTACGTGAATAATTTGTGTTAATAAAAAGTGATTACAAATTTATCTATTAAGCTCAAGTAAGAGTCACATAGTAAAAGAAGAGTTATAAGAATATAACTCTTTTATAAGTAAGAAAGAATACATAAATAAATATATTCTCAAACATGCATCGTTAAATATAATTTCCTCTCTGATTTTGAAGAGTTGCACCTTATAATTTTGCAAAATAATTTTGGTGCTCTCTAAAAATATGTAAAGTTTGAATGTAATCGTTTCAACGATCATGAAGTCTCTGTTAGCAAAATCATTAAAATCTCGGTGCCTTAACAAATTGGTACATTAAAAAAAATGGGGTAATAAATAATAAATAAAACCGAGGTTTCAACCTCTAAGTACTTACACTTTATTAAGCACTGAAGCACTCGTACAAAATACGATCCTCTCGTTACAAGGCAAATTTCCTCCTTCCATGGAGATCTTAATTGGCGTAAAGATCGTGAGATTATGACGACGATACTTTAATACCCTTTGGTCCCGAGCAGCGAGGGTCGTGGCTATAAAAGAGCTTCTTTCTTAAGTCCGATAGCGTCGAAACAAAATTTTCTTTCCGTCGGTGAGCAACGTCAACCGGATCACACCGGAAACGGTCGCCTTGCGAGACTCAACAGCCAGCCGTGACGTCGATATCGTGTAAATTGACGATTGACGAGTGGGAAAGAGAAAAAAAATCGCTACACGAAACTTTCCGTCAGCATATCGAAAAGGACTCGACTGCACGACGAATCGTCGATTATCAGGCTCGACTTTGTGTACATCTTTTGCATGTGCGTGCCTACTCGCGAGTACCACCGATATTATAGAAACGCGTGATCGGTGAACGATTTATTGATCGAAACACGTTTGTTGTGTAAATTGAATTATTATAAAGGAGTGATTCGAAGGTATACGATCGCTGGTCACCGTTTCTCACAGCATTTGGCGCGTTGTCCGTAAGGCGCACAGCATTACACCTAGCAGTTGGCATGTGGCCACGCATGATTGTCTCGATGTATGACGACAATTTTGTTCGATGAATGTTGTGCATGCTGACGCCACACTTTGACACGCATTTTAGACCCTTCTTTAATTTACGTCACGCGAGGACCACTGAACGAGACATTGGCAGACAAGCAAAAATCACTTTGATCTAAGTGAACACTCAGATATTGCTCAGTGTTCAAGAATCTTGATACGAAATATATAATCTTGATGTATCGTACAAAAGGATGTCGGACAAGAAAAGTTCCATCAGCTCCGAAATCGTCTGTCCGTTTCTTAGCCAGAAACCAATTAAGGAAAGTCAGGTCCAGGTAGACAGGTGCAAGTAATAGCATGGTTTCTGTAACTTCTGTAACTGGAAGATTATGTTAACCTTCTGTTGAATCTTGAGGATTGTGGCTCTTGAAATCTTTCAAGATTGCTTTAATTGAGGTGGTCATTATTTCAAAATTTATATAATTGGTATTATTTTAACGAGCTTCTTGCACAGCAAAGTTTTATACTTTATACTTACAATCAATACTTTATAAATTTGTATGTTGCTAAATCTATTCTCGTTACAGAAACATTTAAAACATTTTACTAACTTCAACTCATACTTTTAATTATATATTTTAAATAACAAGTACATTTGTTTAAAGGTGTTTATACTGTATAAAACATTTATATCTATTTTACAAATTTGTTAAAAATAATATCTTGTTTCTTACACGTAATTCTATCATTCTGGTTATGGAAGTATTTATAATTACGTGTTGTTAATTGATAGATTCTATCATGTTGTTAATTGAGTACTTATATAACTATTATACTTATATATATAATACACGTAAATACAATACAAATATTTTCAAAAACGAATACAAAAGACTTATTTGAAACGCGATAATATGCCATTGTTTTTGTGAACTCTTTCACCAAAAATCGATGTATAAATCGACAGCAATGCAACAATGATTTAAACGTTGCACAAGGATTAAATTCTCTTATCCGTGCATTCATTCGTACATGATTATTCAACGATTCCACCATGCGGCGTCAGCTGGATTTCAGAAATTGTTGACGTCGGTTTAATAAAGGCGTGATTGCATTTTCGTTTCACCGACGACAGGTGTACCTGTCCTTTAAATTGTATGACGTCACGAGCATAGAACGTAGTCGTGCATCTTTGATGCACGGAATTAATGACCACCTGCGATCTTATTCATTCCTTTCGACCGCGTTTCATTTTACTCGATTTTGAATGCATTAAACAGACAGGCAGCTGCTCGTACGAAAATCCAGCGAAGAAAGAGATTGGATCAAATCGAATTACCTTAAATATTAGGTCGCAGATATTTATAATATCGGGCTGTTACAGAAATTGGTTAAACACGTGTATTCCTTTAATAGCAACTGCGATGAATAGCAGATTCAACCCTTTTGTATGCGTAAATTAAATTTTGATGAAAGGCTAAAAATTTCAATATGATAAATATTTAACATGGCTTATACACGTTTATTTTAATTAAGGATATTTTAATATAATTACGCGTATATTTTACTAAACTCAATGATATATTTATTTTAATAAAATTAATTCTTTGTATCACATCTTATATGATACCTTCATATTACAATTTTGAACATAGAGCAAGGTTTTGAATATAGAACGAAGGCATATTTCATGTCGCTCAGATGAATAAATGCAGTTGTAAAAATAATAACATAATCTATGAAAGGGTTAAGCTAGATAACTTCATAATCATAGCAGAGAAAAAACAATAAACTCTCCGAAGAGAAACATGCGACGGCCGAACGAGTTAACCTAATAATATTATTATTCAAAGCAACGATGCATAATCAATTATTCTCGCAAAATATCACCCGTTGACCCGTAAGGTTAAAACAATAACCGAAAGGAAGCAATTAAGAAAGTTATTGGAGCATCAGTAAGAACCAAGAGGAAAAAATTATTTCCTTGTACCTGTATATTTTGACCCGGCAGAAACGTTCTCTCGTAATTGCAGAGAGCTGCTTTTCACCGGTGCGTTTACCTCGCGAAAGCAGAAAACATTTTCGGGAGAAAAAGAACGTAGCAAAAAAGAAAGTAAATGTAAGCCATTGTCTCGATCGATAGTCCTCGCGATCACACGGAATCTCCTTATCTTGGATTTTCTTTATTTGCCCGTTTGCCCGTTCGTTTGCCTTGTTGACGTACGATATTGGCGTATCGGCTTCGGGCACGCGTATCAGCAACAGCAACCAAGAGGCCAGTAAAGGAGAGGACGCGTTTGGGCGAAGAAACGCGTCAGAGGTAGATCCACCGCAACGGTGGACGGGATTCTCGACGAAGACGACGTCCTAGTTGGTCGTCTGACCGGGTAGGCTTTCATCGTGGGCGAACAACAGCCTGCAAAAAGTTCGCCATGCCGGCAGGTATTGGCGCTTCGTACAGGTCGTTAGGCGACCTGGGCGAAAATGTGTACAAAAGCACGACGATCGTCGACCAAACGCAGACCACCGGACAGAGCGTCCTCGAGAGCGTCAAGAAGGCTTTCAGTTTCGCGTCGCCCAAGGTCGAGCTCAGGAAAAAGGACCCGCTGATCGAGGACCGCCGTGAGAGCGTCTCGATCGTCTCAAGGTAATACACTATACACGATTATACGTACACTACCACAAAGTATTCGAAAAACAGTACGTTCGTCATTCAAATATGTACTTTCATTTTTTTTGTACTTGGGTACCTTATTCGGTGTTAACACATACGTGATTCGATTCAATTATTTATGAGAGGAACTTTTGGGTACTGGTGATATGTAGACAGAGAAGATGAAATTGGGATATCCTTGTTCTCAATAATTTGTATTTTGACGACCATGAACATGTCAGATTTCACTGAGGCTGTGACTGGTTAAATTAATTATTTATGGGATTCTTGATATTCTGACGGGTTAGGAGATGAAATTGAAAGATTAATAATATTACAGTGTGACTTGTTCTTAATAATCTGTATTATCTGACTACGTCAGTGGTGGTCAAACCACCGATAAGGTACTTTTTATTTTTGCAAATATCTTTATACATTCGATATTAACGTGTTGAATAAATATCATACACATACTGGGTGATTCAGCAGAACCAAAATAATGAGATACCTCTATTACGATTGGTAAAAGAAAATGTTTAGAGAAACCGTGAAGATGTGAAATCTTATCATACTTGAATATCACTTCTCTTTTTGACATTCTCTCGTTTTGTCAATCTGAACAGGGAACAGTCAGGTGTTTCTTGCGAATCACCCGATATATAGCTAGTTTTTAAAATTGTACCCCTCAACACTTTATTCACTGCTACCATATTGAGGCGAATAAAGGTGAAATTCTATACAGCAGTGTTTCTCAACTCATGAATTTAACTTATAAATTATCCATTCTGAGTTGTAATTCGTATTCGCTGTATTATAGCATTATACAATTCAGTATTATAGCAGCAATGAGTCGTACTGTTATTCGAATATTTTTGTGTATCTGTGTATTTGCAACAGGGAATTTGGTGGACAGGTATGGGATGGTCACGGATAGGATTATTGACTCTGGTATTTGACAAGGGAAGAATCTCAATTGTCTATTTCTGAGGTACTTTTTAAGATGTAAATTAATATCTTTAAAGTGTCAATTTACAAAGATGAAGGTTTCCAAAGTTTCATTCACAAAATTGATAAACAATTTCTGCCCACGGTTATTTTTCTCCCTCGCCATTTTATCGTGACAAAAATTTTTTGGAATAATACCGAACATAAATTGTTGATATTTAATCTTCTGTTGTTACAAAAGTATAGCACTTGTGAATTATTCAAAGCTGTTTCCTCGTTTTGCTAATTTAGCACCGAACAATGTTTTCGTGGAAAGCTGTATTTTTAACTTTATAAATGTGAACGCTGAATAAAAAGAACAGCGTGAAAGAGAAAAGTACAATGCGTGGTAATTGTGTTATAAAATGGGATGCTGGAAACGGATGGTTATGAAAGATTGCATTACTGCATTCGTAATATTTTTTATTAAACATTATGTATATTAAATGTCAAACGTAACGAGTTTACTGCTGCTTTTTATTATTTATTATTCATTTATTTTATGGATGAAAATTCGGTATTAAATTTATCATACTGAAACTTTGGTAAATTTTTGCCATAATTATATTTTATTAAAATTGAAATTGAACGATTGAGATTTCTTCCTTGTGATATTCTTGAGTACCCATAAGATGCCTTAATAGAAACAAAAAATTAAATTTGAAGCTTATAGATATTTATTAATTTTTAAATAACATCGATAACGAATGGAATAATATATAATTTACTATAGTAAAATGTAATGTTCTTTGATCAGAATAACTTTCGACAGTTTTTGCTCTTCCAATAGGCCTCTGGTCTGCTGCATAAATATACATCGATATACAATTCTCTGTACAAAATCTTACTATTGATTTAGCATTTAGTATCTTGGTGCTCGAGATTAGATATGTAGTAAGGATTACAATTAGTAAACAATGTTTGTTTGCACATTCTTTTAGCAGAACTATTTATCGTTGGTACCACTTCTTACTGTTTTACCATTTTGTTACTTCAGTACTCCACTATTCTACTATTTCACTGTGCAATTATACCACTATTATAATATTTTAATTATTTGGACAATTTTGTTGTACGACTATTTTATTGTAACACTGTTCTAATAATCAGCTCTACTACGTAATTATTTTATTTCATTATTTCACTATTTTACTGTTCCACTATAAAATTGTACTATTTTGCTATTTCACTAATTTTACTGTTACAACTACTGTTCTATTTCATTGTACACTTTTGTTGTACTCTTTCACTATTTCACTATATACTACTTCTAATTTGTCGAATACTATGGGACCACTATTTAATTATTTCGTAACTAATTTACTTTTCATACCACATCGAACTGGTACTCCTTACACGTTCTGTTTTAAATTACACATAATTAATTTAATTGCATTTGCTACAGATAGTTCCGTTCGTTATCGATGTTTATCAAATAAGATTGATCAGCCTTTACAATTATTCGTTTATTTACAAGTAGCTTAAAAATGTTGTCCACAACTCATGCATTATATCCACAGAAACAGATTAGATATATTATACTTCAAAAAGTACTTAAAACGTTTTCGTAATTTATATTGAATATGAATTACATTCCATATGTAGATAAGGTTGAAAATATTCAGGTATCTTATGGGCCTAACTTTTACGAGTACCTGAAGGTACCCAAATGTCTCGTGAACCTGTACTCGTTGTTTCGCTTGAATCTCGTTGTTTCTCGACCTCGGACCGTCTATTCACAAGTTCAGATCGATTCTCTCAAGTGGTTTTTGAGACGCGCGACTAGTTGCTGGCTGGCTTACATTCGAACCCGCCTTTTACCCTGTATCGATGACGCGTCCGATAACACTGTTTGGTACCAAAGTTGTCAGATACGAGAGTAATAAATGATTCATTCCAGTTTACCGTGGAAAACACAGTCGATTATAACGGCACTTGTTCAAACGATAAAAGTAATTCTCTTTGTGTAAGCCTCGTATGCTTAGGATTCGTTTGATAGCCGGACAAACGCTAAAGCTTTATCTTTGTGGGAACAAAGGTTTTATTTAGATGCAATCGAAATTCGCTTCTGTGCAGCGTTAAGAGTCATGAATTTAAAAATGAACGCGATCAATGACGAAGCGTTGGACAGAGGCTAAGGAGGTCGTGAATGATCGGTTCGAGGTCGAAAATGTCGGAGGTGTATACAGTTAGGTTGCTTTTGCTATCGGTCACGAGTCGACCAATCGATCGTCACAGTTTCTTCGCTTTTTCGAATTCTCGTGACTAAAAATTGTAGAGCACTTGTTGGTGTACTTCGGGGAAATGCTTCGAAACACGAGGTCGCTTTCCAATTGCTACAATTCATCGCTACTAAAATGTGCAACTTGCTAACTTCCCAGAAATGGAACTCGTAAGATCCTTATTTCTTGGGTAATAAAAAAGGGTGTGTTGTGCAGTACTACTTTCTCCGGTAATAGCTTCTATTTCTTTTAACTTTCGAACTATAATCGGTTTTAAACGGGGACGATATTGCTGTCGTTATTGTTTAGCGGACAGTGATGGGAAATTGTAGGGCGTGGTGCAATGAGGGTTTTGTGGAGAAAGGTACTTTGACTTAACAATTTGGAATTTTTAGGTTACTAGTTATATTGAAGTATTATTGTTAGTTTGGTCTTCTAGATTTTTAGATTTTCGTAGTTTTAGGTTAATTACCATCTCTCCAAATTTCTTAATCAGAAAATTCAAAGTCACAAAAGTTATCAAATTAAACTACTTAAAATTTCAAACTACAAACTTCCCAATTTCTAAATTTCTAAATCCAAGTTAAAATCTCACGAACAGAGCGCTCCGTATCAAATTTTCCCATCACTGCTACTAAAAAAGGCATCAAGGATCGACAGCGCCCGTAAAGGAAGAATTACACCGGGCAAAGGTTTTCAAACACCGATTACAGTTTCCTCGGTATATTATTTCGCGACAGGCGCTTAATCGAGAATCGATAATGCAACCGCGGTAATACGGTTTCAAAGATTTCGATCTTGCGGCCATTTTCTTCGATTTCACTTCGTCTCGAAGTAATCGTGCGTGTTCCCGTTATCGGGATAATCAAAGACTGATTTAACCTTAAACACGGACACAGATTTTAGGACCGGAAGTTGGTGGCGCGACTATTGATCGGCCTGGGTACAAAAGCAGGCCACGAGGTAAGCCGCATCATGCAACCTGAACGTCACTCCTTTACCTCGCACTTCCACCGTCCACCACTATTGCTGCTGACTTTTTCGCTCCCTTTGCTTTTATGTTCGTTATTGTGCTTGCTTGCTTGCTTTCTTCGTTATCTGTGCTGGCCTGCTGCCGCTTACGACTTACCACCGGTGATAAGTTCGAGGGACCGTGATTTTAATTAAGGATAACGACGGAGCGAGCCCCTGTAATAATTTCAAATTGAATTTTGCTATCAGTTTTAGTTGAACCACTTAATATTTATCTGGAGGAGCGTCAGATAATATCTAAATTATTCTTTGAATTTTCACCTTTACCCTTTCGATGCAGCGTTTGAGGAATACAGTTAGCATTCATTTATTCTATCATGGCTTCTTAATTTTGTTATAAGTCCCTTCTTGATTTTCTCAAATATTCTTTTAGCTTCTCAAGTATTACTTTTGGATTATTCTTTAGGTAAGATTTTTTTCTATCGATACCTTCAAATGTTGCTCTGAGACTAGAACTTTCAGAGTACCAAGTATCCTTCAACAGTTAACTTCTCATACAAGAATCACTCTAAACTTTCATCTCTTGCATATCTTCAAAGTAAATTTAACAAGCCCACTTGTTAACTACTTAGATATCGCAAGGTTTCGACCTGCATTTTTCTATTTCCATCTGCAGAATATACTCGTTAAAATCCACTTAGGACCTATATGTAGAAATACTATAATTTCAGAAGATGCAGGTTTTACATGTTTAATAAAGTTTGCCCCGATTCGGCACAAAAATAAAACTCCCAAAGCGATTTGCTGCCACAAAGGCATAGGTTAACGACGCGCACGAGACTCCTGTCCCGTGAAGCTATCACCTGTGTTACGTTGTTATTATCATTAGCAGTCATCGTTCTTTTTCCTTGCTTTTTGCATGCACCTAGTCGGATGTGTTTCTTTGTCCTCGTAACGCTCGAGTTGCAGCGGCGTGTGCTCCGTGGCGCGCGACGGCAACGCGTGCGTTACGGAACCGGCTTCTCGGTTCGAGAAATCCTCTCCGAGAACCGGGGAAATGGTACCTGAAGTAACTATTTCAAAATATATGTCGGTTCTTCCTAAAACAATTATGAAAAGACCGAAAATCAACTATTATCAAATATTGTAAGTTTGACGCGTATCGGTTTAAAAGTCTGCAACCGCCATTTTGTGCTTCTGTGGTTCGGTTTTACAAATACATACAAATTATTACGTAATTATGTTATTTATGTAACATTTGTAACTGATACAAATTATGTGATGAATGTAAATTATAATTAATATATATTATTATGTGAAGGAATTCACTAATATGTGATAGGTATAATTCGTCACTCAAATTATTATACAGCAGATATGATGTAGAACTGATACAGAATATGTCAGATATAAATCACAACTGATAGAATTTATTTAAAAATATGATAGATAAGATTTATCATTGATAAAAGTTATATGGTAGATATAATTCATCACTCAGATTATTATGTGACAGATACAATTTACAACTGATACAAATAATTATGTAGCAGATGCAATTTACAACTAATACAAATTATTATGCAGTATAAATTTACAAGTGATGCAAATTGTCAAGTAACAGACATAATTTAAACCTAATACAAATTATTACGTACTGTAAATTATAACCTATAAATCACGTTAGAATTAAAATACATATCAAATAAAATCCACAAAACCGAAAGACAGAAAATAACTGTAGACTACTCAATTCTGAAGAATTCCAGCTACAATTATAAAAGTATATTTAATAATAGTTATGACAATATTTCGGTCGACCATAACTTGTTTTAAGAAACCGATATCATAACTGTTTTCAACCCCTTCTCGGCGAGAACACGCTAGACGTGTCTCTTAACCGCAGGGATACTCGATTTCCTGGAGAACACTCGAGACCAGAAACTTTTCAGTTACTATGATTGTCACGAACGAACATTAATTGAAACTCGGGTCTGATTCGAAATCGCGTGAGTTTAACACGTTCAACGCCGTACTCGAGAAACGGGTCGATCGTTCTACGCTGCGACGGTTAAGCGTTAACGATCGAGCACGCGATATCGCGTGGTCGACGGTGTACGTGTTAATTTCAAGGTCTGTTAGTTTTTACTGACATTGTTTACTTGGACGTTTTATAATAACTAATAAAAAATCTTAATAAATAATAAATAGTTATTAATCTTGTTGATTCTTAGTTCTTTTTTATTATTGTGCATTAATTATGAATGGGAAAAGTTTTATTAAAAACTGAATGTGATCAAGAAAAACAGATTCTAGTCTTGCAATCAATTTATAAAAATATGAATACAATTTTTAGTTACTTCAAAAGAGTGTACAAGATGAATACAAGATGAGTATAAGAATATGTATAGAAGAATAAAATCGGAAAAGAGTAACAACAGGAAATTTAGTTTACTTTGCGGTTAAAAGAAGTCCCGCATTGAATGAAATAAACTGCTAAGCCTGTCTAAAAGTTTGCCTAATTTGCTCGAAGTTGGCACCCGGGTAGAGGCTGCGTAAGCCGCTAGGGCCGGGCGTTGTTATTATTCGCCGCCATTTTGTTCTAGGGAAAGAAACAGGATGCCGACCGCCGCCACAGCCGAGGAATCAGCACTTCTGGGGTAAGTTTCGTCGAGAACGAACCAGACCGTAGAAAATATGATATTCAGGCGCGTTGCCATATCCCTGTCGAGTAGAGTGCAATATGCGATTGTAGTTGATTACTCGCGGCTCCGGAACTCGTAGATAATCGAACTAACGCGTCCCTTGCCACCTGAACACACGTAATATTCATCGACATACGTCCGTTATCCCGTAGGGATTTGCAGGTCTCGCAGAAAGAATCGGCATTGACCCCGATGTCGACAGAGCCGAACGAACGCTCGCCACCGGATAATTGCCAGTCGCGTTATTAACACTTTGATGGCTGATGTCACGTGCTAGTGACTTTGATACGTAACTTTTCACCCCGACATTTTGTCGGTGAGGTTAAAACATATTCATTACTTTGTGGTTTATCATCCACTTCGTTTTGATATGGAAATTTTTACATTTCGTATGGGTGCGAACAATTATGGGAAAACGTGTTCATTACTTTGTGTATAACATCGTGACATGTAACTTTTTACTTTGTCATTTTGTGCGGGTAATTCGGGTGCGGTTATGGTAGCATATTCATTATTTTTATAACACTATTTTGGTGTGTTATTTTTTACATCGACATTTTGTATGTAAATATTCGGATTCAGAGATTTACAGGGTCGAAATAACGTATGCATTATTTTATCATTTGTCATACGTTTTATTTTGATATTTGTATGTCAGTGGTGTGCAATATTCAAATTCTGTATAGACATTTACCATGTCAAAAACAATGTATTCATTGTTTTATCGCTTACAATACAAATTCTCTTGATATTTTTATTTCGATATTTTGACGTTCCAATATTCAGATCCAGTATTGACATTTGGGGAATCAAAAACAATGTATTACTTTATCGTTTTTGATACCTAACCTAGATTTGATATTCGACATTTTACAGCGACATTTTGTACGTATAAATGTACAGGTTTATTTATGGAATCAAAAATTACTTCATCATACACACATAAAATTCATTAGATCAGTTAACAAATTTTATGATATTGAACTCTTTCAGGGAATGTCAATAAAATACATTAAAATTTAAAAATACGTATTATACAGAATATGATAGTTTTCTATAATATTTAAAATTTAACATTTTCTGTAATATTTAAAAATAATTGGGATAGCAGTTCCCATAATATTTATTTAATGTTTCAATTAATATTTTGCTAAGTTTCTCTGTTTACATTTTCTGCCGCCAGATATCGCGTTGTCGAACTCCAGTATGCGTCACTTAAGTAGAATCTAAATTATTTCCATCACTATTAAAAATAGAGGGGTGGTTATATAGTCCCTCTGCGAACATTTACGAAAGACAAGCAAGTCTCGGAGGCATATAAGTCCACATTTATTTTTCTACCCTTAACAGCAGTTAGATATTTAACTTAACAGACACACCCTGTTTAATGGTTATTTCGAAATTAAGTGCAGTATATCAACTATATAGGTAACACAAACATATGATGCTATTAAGCTATACGAAAATTAGGATAAACCTGTCATAAATCATGGGATGGTGTTGGAACACTTTAAATCCGCCATATGCTGGCCAGTGTGTAATTTATAACTTCTGTGGTGTATTAAATACATTTAATACATCTATCAAATTTTATTTGTCCAAAAATCAGTAATTTTATCGAACTTTATTTATCCAAAAATTATTTAAACTCTCTATCAAACATTATTTATTCAAAAATTGATAAGATATTTCTTATATCTCAAAAAATTCCTACGATGTTCAAATACTTTTATTTATCCATAAATAAAAAAATTATCACTTAAATTTTAATTTGTCAAAAAAGTTTGATAAAAGTGAAGATTATATTAAATGAAAGATGAATCTTACAAGCCTCATTTAAATATCACACAAAAATTACCAACAAAAATTATAACCTTGATAATCTTTTCCTCAAAAAAGAAAAAACGCTAAAAAAATCGCCAGAGTAACAAAGAACGGTAGCCTTGTTTGTTCCAGACTCGTACATCAAACAAATCAAGGTTCTCGATCATCAACTTGACAATCTGAACTCGTACCACACAAAATCCGTTGCGACAGCTTCGATCAAAGTGATTTTTATAAGTGCAACGTTTCTCGTTGTAATTGTCGTTGGTTCCCTCGAGTTGTTACGCAAAAACATTAACTCGAACTCGGGAGAAATGAAATTGTAATGGTGAAGCATTGCGTGCGACCTACTTCTTCCGACATTTATTGAATGGCAGCATTGCATTTTTTTCTTCCTGTTGTTCGCTGTGAGAAGTGTATTTTCGATCACGATGGATCGAAGTTTCAAAGGTATCTAGAACGTTGGGTCTATGGAAGCGACGTTCCCTTGATTTTTCTTCGTTAGAAAATGGAAATTGATATTGACAAATTGAACTGTGTCGATTGATGGGTTATATTGTGAGGAAGTTTGAAGTTGTGTTCAATTTTGAAGTAGTTGGAGGGAAGGTATTGGTGTATTTTATAGGGTTTGTTGTGTGTTGAGTGTTGTAGTGGGTGGAGATAGCTGTGTATGAGATGTGATATAGCCAGGAGGGAGGTGGTTTTGGTATGTGGTTGTGAAGGAGGTTATAGAAGGGATTCCTAGATTACTGTACACCAAATTCCTAAATTTCCAAATTCACGAATTCCCACATCTCCAGATTCCCATGTCCCCAAATTCCCACATCCCCAAATTCCCACATCCCCAA